ATATTATATATATATATATATATATATATGTCTTCCTTTGTTAATTAAAAAAGTTAACTTTTTAACTCACTTTTTAAATTTAATTTTAAAAAAAGTTATTTCGAAATCATGAAATAAAACAAATTTAACTTTTAACTTTTCAATTACTTTTTTTCATTAATTTAACTTTTAATGTAATTAATGTCACTATGGATTAACTTTTATTTTAATTAACAATAAATTAAATTTTCAAGGCTGTTAACTTTAACTTAACTTAGTTAAAAAAAAAATTAACTTTGCCCAACCTTGTGTTTTCGTATTTAGACAGATCGAATATTCAACAACAGGATTTCAATAATTAATTATAATTTATTGCTTTTATAGTTAAGATTCATAAGCAAACCCGATATGGAAATTACGATAGTCGAAAGAGCGAGAAGAAGAACATGTGGATATGTTCTCTGTTCGGAACTACTGCCTACTTTTGATCCGCAACTTGCATATAACGAAGAAGGCTGCAAACAGAAACTCTTCTGCAGTTTATTTTGCCACAAAGCGGCCAATTTTCTTCTTAAACAAATGTTTAAGACAATCTCGTGGAGAGATAATGGAGATAGACCAGTCTTTAAAATTTTGTCACGCATTACTAAGTTTACAGAAACGTGCGATTTAAAAAATTGTGCATCGCGATGCGATCTTCCTTAAAAATAAACCAGTGAACCATATATTGTGATATTATACAATATTTGTATGTAATTTCGTATACTATTAAATTCATAATATCAAATTACATATAGTTTAAATTATTTTTAATCACCATTGTTCCTACTCAATATGTTATTTTTTAACTAAAACAATGAAGTTAATCAATTTAACTCACGAAAATGTATTAAATTTGTATCAAAACTTGTATCAAACTTAGTTTATTATTAACTAAGTGCATATGTTAATATGAACTTCGTTTACTTTGAAACTAATTACAGAAATAGGTTAATTTTAACACATATATAGAAGTTAAAAATAAGGAAATGTTATTTAACTCAAGGGATTGGGTTGCTATTACTCCTTTGATCTAACAATGTACAATCACATATAAATATACGAGGTCTGTTCAAAAAGTATCGCGAATTTTGAATTTCCGCGGGTTACGTATATTAGATTTTCGATTTTTTTGTGGCGTTATGTAGGTACTCATGTCTCTCACTTATGCCGACAAGTTCGGCCATTTTGAATGTTCAGTTAATTTTTGACAGCTGCTTTGCTTGCACGTGTTTTGGCTCGTCTTCGATTTTTGCCTATTCCAAAAAATGGATCAAAGAATCTGTATCAAATTTTGTGTGAAAAACAAAATTAAGTGCGCGGACGCATTCCGAATGTTGACTGTGGCATATGGTGAAGCTACCTTGGACCGAAGCAACGTTTATCGGTGGTACAAAATGTTCTCAGAGGGCCGAGAAGATGTGAACGACGAAGAGCGTGCCGGACGCCCGAGCACGTCAACAACAGACGAAAACATTGATGAAGTGAAGAAAATAGTATTGGCCAATCGGAACGGTCAATATTGAATATTACCTGCAAGTTATGCGCAATTTGCGCGAAGCAATCCGCCAGAAACGCCCGGATTTGTGGAAGAACAAAAATTGGCTTTTGCACCATGATAACGCCCCTGCTCACACATCGTTGCTTGTGCGCGAATTTTTGACCAAAAACAACACACTAATGATGCCGCAGCCACCGTATTCCCCAGATCTGGCCCCCTGTGACTTTTTCTTGTTCCCGAAACTGAAGAGGCCCATGAAAGGACGACGCTACGCTACGATTGAGGAGATAAAGACGGTATCGAAGGAGGAGCTGAACAAGATCACAAAAAATAATTTTTTGAAGTGCTTCGAG